GTTCATGAAGGACCTAAACTATGGGGACATGATGTCTGGGAGGGAATGGAGGTGATACAGACAAATTTGTCCAGTTTCTCCCCACTCTAACATACTGTGATCTATTTGAAGAATGCCGTGTATCCTTATCTCATCAAGGCTTAGGATGCCAGGCTTAAACCAATGGAGAGAAGCCCCAGAGAGACAGAGCTGGGAATCAGGCTCAGTAAGATCTTCATCTAATTCACTAAAAATTTAATGAGCTGTGTGTCAGGCATAGTGATGGGCATTGGAGGTACAGAAATGAACAAGGCAAGCAGCTTGCAATGTGAGCAGTTGGGAGTCCCACGGAGCCTCCTCAGCTTCTCTTTATCCTAACATTCATTATAGTTACTACCACCTGACCATGTCATCAGTGCTCACCAGCAATAACAGAGTATACAGCTCCTGAGGTTAGGGGCCACATATTGTTTGATCTTGTCTCCCCCAACACCTAGCACAGTCCCTGGCTTGAAATGGCCATCCATTAATTCCCTGTTGAATGAGTGAATGAACACATGAATGAGTAAAAGGCTGTATAGTGAACGTACGTCCATGTAAAATGAGGTGTGCCTAGTGGGAGTAAGGCTTAAGCATGAAACTCTACTTGTGCCACTGAACTGGAGCTACCTTCCTTGGAAGGCTGCCTGTCCAGTGGGGAGAATAACTGCAGCCTGACACACACACCCCCAACCCCTCTGGTTCAGAGCCCATAGTAGAAGGAGTGGAGTTCCAGTTCCATTTGGAACCAGCCAGGTTTTATCTGACGACCTCAGGTGAAGATGCTACCCTTCTTGGGATGTAGGACTCGAAAGGTTTGTGGCATCGACTTTGGACCAGATGGGTGGAGTGCCTGGGATACTGCACTCAGAGAGAGCAGAGAGGCAGAAAGAGAGCAAAGGGAAGGCAAGACTCCTCTTCCACTCAACACTTCTTCCGGTTCCCTCTTCAAATCTTTCTGTGTAGGAATATAATATTTTATTGGAAAGGAGAAGGGTGGAACAAGTTGTTACAGCCTAAGAGGCAGGTGTCTTCACTCATCCCTCCCCCCAGGATGGCTGTATCCAAGCAACTGGCCCTGCTCTGTTCTCTTTTCCCTCTCTTCTCTGTCTTCTCTCTACACCCTCGCTCCACCACAGCACCATGCATTGACCCTTCTCCTTCTCTGTCCTATCTCAGAGTTGTGCCTGTCTAAGGCCTAGCTCAGAACCCTGTCCCTCATCAAGCCTTGCCTTCCATACCACAGTCAATTCTCCCTTTCCCTGAATTCTGCAAGCCCCAGGGACTCAGAGGCTAGAGGCATGGGCTTTGGAATCAGATAGAACTAAGCTTGAAACTGCTTTCTAAATTTACAAACTTGGGCATGTTACTCAGCTTTTCTAAGGAGAGTGTAATCATATCTATCTCATAGCTTGTGAAGATTTAATGAGAATATACATGTAGAGCACTTGACATATAGTAAACACTCAGTGGACATTAGTGCTATTGTCTATGGACTGTCTGAAGTTGCTGATACCCTTGCTGTGCCTTGGGCTGTTGACCAACATCTTAGTCTTCCAGATCTTACTTCTTTTGTTGAGTTATAGTATGCTTAAGAAAGGGACCTCTCTTCACTGTGCATAGCAGGGGCTTATGCCAAGAAGGAATATTAGATGAATAAATTGATTAGCTAATTACACTTTTTTGGGATCCTTTTTGAGGAACAGAACTTTTCAATACATGGTAAACTTGGCTTCTTTTCTGAACACAGTGGCTTTGAGATTGGTTATTTGGGGACTTTCCATCTCTGGCTCTACCTAAGCCTCCCACGACTCCTCGAGGGGCAGATACATCTGTGTAAACTGCCCTACCTAGTATTTCTCAGGATGGGCTGGTACTTTTAGTAATAAGTAATTCTAAAAAAAAGTTAGCTATTAATCTGGCCTATTTTGTTGACACAGGGGCTCAAGATATAGTGAAGACACAGGGAGATATCTGACTTTCCTTTTCTGGAGAACCAAGGAAGCCAAGAACATTCTGTGCTATCTTTACAATAAGAAGTAGCTTTTCTTTTAAAAGACAGCTGCTTCATTTTCAAAGGTTAAATAGAATTGTCCTTAAAAAATAATTCCAGCTAGTAAACTTTAGGGCCCTGGAGAAAAATATCCAATTCAAGCATATACTCTAACTTTAAGTCCACAGCATTTCCTCATGACTGTCAAGTGAATAATTTTCATTTACTCTCAGGCCTGATCTTGGGTATTGTCATCCTCTTTGATGAGGTTGGCAGGTATTCTGTGACTCCTGATGGTGCTGTGTTGCCTCCCCATCCCCACCCTTCCTCCTTGCCAGGGGTTAGGGAAAAAATCTCTGTAATAGTTGCCACCAAAATATATCTTTCGCCCAAGCACATTGGGTTTTTAACTCAACATTTCTACATTTTAACCCCACGAAACTTCAAGCTCCCCAACCAAAATGAGTCAGAAATTTATTTTCTTTGTTCATTCACTCATTCATTTATCCATTTATTCAACAAATTGGGCGCTTACTATCTGTCAGGAACTGTGCTAGGAGCTAAGAATAGGAATGAGAGCAAAACCAGACACCATTCCTGCCTTCCTGAAGCCTGTGGTCTAAGTGGGGAGATGGAATTAGCTGAGTAATTGTGTGAGGGTATAATTCTAAACGAGACAATGAGATAGGAGACCTGAAGGAAAGGAGTGCTATTCTGTGAGATCATATCACTGAGGAACCTGTCCTAGATGTGGAGTCTGGGGTCAGGGAAGGTCTCCCTGATTTTGTGATGGTGTTTGAACTGGAATCTGAAGATTAGCAGTAGTTAACTAGGTGGAGGTGTGGGTGGGAGGGTTGTAGTCAGAGGGGACAGCACATGTGAGATCCTATGGCAGGAAGCACCATGGTTTATTTGAGGGACCATAAGAAGGTCAGTGTGGCTGTAGGATAAAGACCATAGGGAGCAGGGAGGAAAGGGAATGAAGTGAGGCTGGAGACTGAGTTAGGGGCCAGATTCTGTGGGTGGGACCTTGTAAGACTAGGGTCTTTATTGTAGGAGCAATGGGAAGTTAGGGGTTTTAAGTGTGTGTGTTGTGTGGGAGGTTGGGTTGATGAATGACAGATTTTCATTTTCAAAGATTACCTTTTATTGGTAGGATTTGCAGTGGCTTCTGTCACTACAGAAACCATCTCTGACCTCCACCAGGCTAAATCTCAGCCTTCAAACCCATCTTTCCAAATAAAATAAGAAGACATTGAGTTCTAGAAAATACCATTTTCTCTTTCACTGCACATTTAAAGGTATTTGAAAAATAGAACCATGACTAACATTTAGACAGTTCGGCTATCATGATACTAGCTGGAGTTTTTGTATGATACCCAGCAGGTATTTGCATTTTTTGAGAAGTCAGCCTTTGGTACTTCAAAGTGAGATCATCAAATCAAGTCATCTCTAACACTGGGAATAAGAATAAAAGATACTGCTTCCCCTATGAGATTTTGGTCTAAGTTGGGGAAGCAACAACAGCTTTCCACCTGTCATAGGTGCAGTATCTGAGAGTCATCTAAGCATTGTTAGACATGGAGCTGTCAGAGGTTGTACAGTAGGGCTATTTCAAATTCTCCCTCTGCCCTTTCTGTGCTTTATTTCCTTTGTGATAAACATGCCCCTCCCTACCCCACCCATCGTGCCCTCGCAGTGCATCATAGCCAATTATCACAGGTTGCGTTCTCTGGAATAGATGCTGAGATGGAATTTGGGGTGCAAGATATTTAGTAGGGATCAGTATCTGTGAAGGAAATAGAGGAAGCAGGATTAGGTAGAGGGAGAAGTCCAACTCAGTGCAGTCTTACAAAGGCTCAGCCAACCATTTGGGAGCTCTGAATTGAGTATTGTCCATTGGTGTGTCCCTTATCAGGCCAGAATGGGTTGGCTTTTACCCCAGTCTTACCCAGTCACAGGGCAGATGTGGGCTGCCCCAGGAAGGGTGTGACCTTGGGCCAGGTGGCTCTCAAAGCTGAGGCATACCCTGACCTCACTCCCTGCAGCTGGGCATCAAGTCCTTCCTTGAAAGGGAAAGTGGGGCACATCTCCACATCTACCATATCAACCACCTGATTAGTGTCAAAGACAGGTCTGCAATTCCAGTATTGGTGAACTTTAAATTGTAATCATATCAGACAGTGGAGAGAAGCCTTCTTTTTCACCTAGAGTTATGGCCTTTCAGTAAATAAAAAAGTGATTGTTTTCAGAGACAGAACGAAAATATGAAGAAAAGCTCCAGTGGTAGCTTTGAAATGGCTAGATCCATGGAAGTAACTTAATACTGCAAAGCCCCACTTATGAAACTTGAACCACTGTTTTTGAAAGGACAAAACAAAGCTTTACATGTGTAGGGCACTTCAGTTTTCAAAGTACTTTCTCATGTTATTTGAGCCCCATAATCAGCTTGTGAAGTGAGCAGGGCAGGCCTTATAACCATTTCACAGATGAGAAAGCAAGGCTCACGAAGGTTAAGCAACTTGCTCAAGATCATACTGTTGAAACCTCACCAGCATCCATTGAAAGTGGGAACCTTCTTGACCCAAATCTAGGGCCAGTCAGGAATGCTCAAGATGATGGGCAGGAAGTGGAAAAATAGGGCAGGGAAAGGATTCAAACTGATGAAATGGAAAAGGGCTTAGAGCAGCACTTGGCTCCAAGACTCCAAAACAAAGGCGGGGCAAGCCCTGATTGCTAGAATATGTAAACTATGCAAGAGAAAGAAAGGCAGTCCCCAGTCTAGCATTTTATGGAGGGTTCAGGGAGAGCAGTGATGTCAGAACGATTTCCTGGAGACCAAGTAGGGGAACTGTCATCCCTGCATCTCAGAGGTGAATATGGGACTTGAACGAAAGGTGGATTTGGGGCCTGAGAAACCAAGACTTTTCCTCCTTGGGGTCAGAAGTCAGAGTGACAAGCAAAATTAGATATGCCTCACCTCTCCAAAGTCTAAGTGAAAGGAACCAAAAGGGATTCCTGCCAATACCGAGTCTGGAGAGATGGCACTCCATCTGCAGAACCAGGGGACTGGAGGACAGTCCTCAGCCAGGGGGAACGCAGGTCAGACTACAGATCCTGAACCCAGATGACTTCTTCTTCTTCTTTTTTAAGAGATGTGCATAACTGTGATATTAGGCTATATCTCTCCTACCCTTTCCTTCCCTCCTTTCCTTCCTTCCCTTTCTCTCTCCCTCTCCCTCCCTCCCTCGTTCCCTTCCTTCCTTCCTTCCTTCCTTCCTTCCTTCCTTCCTTCCTTCCTTCCTTCCTTCCTTCCTTCCTTCCTTCCTTCCTTCTCTCCCTTCTTTCTTTCTTCTTTTGGTTTACAGTCTTACAAAGTTATTAGGAATGAATTATTCTTGTATGTCATTTTACTTGGTCTCTTTTTTTAAAAAAATTATTTTATTATGGTAAGAATACTTACATGAGATCTACCTCTTGACAAATTTTTAGGGCACCTGGGTGGCTCAGTCGGTTAAGTGTCTGCCTTCGGCTCAGGTCATGATCCCAGGGTCCTGGGATCAAGTCCCACATTGGGCTCCCTGCTCAGCGGGGAGCCTGCTTTTCCCTCTCATTCTGCTGCTCCCCCTGCTTGTGCTCTCTTGCTCTCTCTGTCAAATAAAAAATAAAATCTTTAAAAAAATTTTAGTTATATGATACGGTATTGTTGACTATAGGTACAATATTGTACTACAGATCTCTAAAACTTACTCATCTTGCTTAACTAAAGCATTATGTTCTTTGATTAGTAACTCCTCATTTCCCTCTTACCCTAGTCCCTGACAACCACTAATTCCAGTCTTTGATTTTACAAATTTGACTATTTCAGATACCTCATATTGGTGAAATCATGTGGTTTTTATCTTTCTATGACTGTCCTACTTCAGTTAGCATAATGCCCTCAAAGCTCATCCATATTGTCTCATATTACAGAATTTCTTTTTTAAGGTTGAATAATATTCTATGGTATGTATATGCCACATTTTCTTTCTCCATCCATCAGTGGATATTTGTTTCCACATTTTGGCTATTGTGAATAGTGATGCTATGAACACCAGAAAGCAGGTATCTCTTCAAGATCCTGATTTCAGTTCTTTTGGATAAATACCCAGAGTGGGATTGCTGGATCATATGATAGTTCTATTTTTTAATTTTTTGAGGAAGCTTCATACTGTTTTCCATAGCAGCTGCACCATTTTACAGTTCCACCAACAGTGTCCAATTTCTCTACATCCTCAACAACACTTGTCTTTTTTTTTTTTTCCTTGACAATAGCCACCTTGACAAGTGTGAGGGTAATATCTCATTGTGGTTTTGACTTGCATTTCCCTGATGATTAGTGATGTTGAACATTTCTTCATATACCTATTGGCCATTTGTATGTCTTCTTTGGGAAAATATCTACTGAAGTACTTGCCAATTTTTAAATTGGGTCATTAGGGTTTTGGTTTGTTTGTTTTTGCTACTGAGTTGTAGGGGCCCTTTGGAAATTAGCCCCTTTTCAGATATATGGTTTGAAAATATTTTTCCCATTTCATATGTTTTCTTTTCACTTTGTTGATTGTTTCATTTGCTGTGCAGAAGCTTTTTAGTTTGATGTAGTCTCACTTGTCTATTTTTTCCCCCACTTCTCTATTTTTGCTTTTGCTACCTGTGCTTTTCTGTCAGATCCAGGAAATTATTACCAAGACCTCTGTCATGAAGCTTTTTTACTGTTTCTTCCAGGAGCTTTACAGTTTCAGATCTTACATTTAAGTCTTTAATCCATTTTGAGTTGATTTTTGTATATGGCATAAGATAGGAATCCTGTTTCATTGCTCTGCATATTTACATCCAGTTTTCTCAGCACTGTTTGTTGAAGAGATTATCCTTTTCCCATTGTGTGTTCTTGGTACATTTGTCAAAAGATCAGTTAATCACATATGCATGGATTTATTTCTGGGTTTTCTATTTTGTCCCATTTGCCTGTATGTCTTTCTTTATGCCAGTACCATGCTGTTTTGATTATTGTAGCTTTGTAATATATGTTGAAATCAGGAAATATGATGACTCCAGCTTTGCTCTTCTTTCTTAAGGTTGATTTGGCTATTCGTGGTCTTTTATTGTTCCATATGAATTTTAGAATTGTTTTTTCCATTTCTGTAAAAACCATCATTGGGATTTTAATAGAGATTGCTTTGAATCTGTAGATAACTTTGGATAGTATGGACATTTTCAACAATATTAAGTCTTCAAATCCATGGCCTTGAGATCTTTCTATGTTTGTATTTTTCTATTTCTTTTAACAATGTTTTTTAGTTTTCAGTATAGAAGTCTTTTACCTCCTTAGTTCAATTTATTCCCAAGTACTTTATTCTTTTGGGCACTATTATAAATGGGATTGTTTTACTATTTCTTTTTCAGAAAGTTTGTTGTTAGTATACAGAAATGCAACTGATTTTCATATGTTGATTTTGTATCTTACAACTTTACTGAGTTATTTTATATTTTAATAGTTTTTCATGGAATCTTTAGTGTTTTATATATATAAGATCATGTTGTCTACAAACAGGGATAGTAATAATTCCTCTTTTCTGATTTAGATGCCTTATACTTGTTTTTCTTACCTATTTGCTCTAGCTAGTACTTCCAATACCATGTTGAATAGAAGTGGTGAAAGTGAGCATCCTTGCCTTGTTCTTGATCATAAAGGAAAAGCTTTTAGTTCTTCACCATTGAGTCTGATATTAGCTGTGGGCTTTTCATATATGACCTTTATTATATTGAATTAATTTCCTTCTATTCCTAATTTGGTGAGAGTTTTTATCATGAAATGGTGTTGAATTTTGTCAAGAACATTTTTGCATCTGGAGACAATCATGTGATTTTTATCCTTTATTCCATTAATATGATGTATCCCATTAACATATGTTGAACTCTCCTTACATCCCAGGGATAAATTCCACTTGGTTTTGGTGTATGATCCTTTTAATGTGCTATTGGATTCAATCTGCTAATATTTCACTGAGGATTTTTGCATTATATTCATCAGGGATATTGGCCTGCAGTTTCCTTTTTTTTTTTTTTTTTATGTGGTGTCTTTGTCTGCTTTTGGTATCATGGTTTTGCTGGCCTCATAAAATGAGTCTAGAAGTGTTCCGTTCTTTCCAATCTTTTGTAAAAGTTTGAGAATTGGCATTAATTCTTTAAATGTTTGGTAGAATTCACCAGTGAAGTCATCTGGTCCTCAGCTTTTGTTTATTAGGAGGTTTTTAATTACTGATTCAACCTGCATGCTAGTTATAGGTCTGTTTAGATTTTTTTGTGTGTCTTTCTGATTCTGTCTTGGTAGGTTGTATGTTTTTAAGAATGTATCCATTTCTTCTAGGTTATCCAATTGGTTGTTGTATGATTGTTTATAGTAGGCTGTTATGTTCCTTTTTTATTTCTGTGGCATCAGTGGTAATGTCTCCTCTTTCATTACTGATTTTATTTATTTGAGTCTTCTTTTTTCCTTAGTCTATCTAAGGGTTAATCAATTTTGTTTATTTTTTGAAAGAACCAACTCTTACTTTCATTGTGTGTTTTTTTTTACTATTAATTTCCTATCTTCTATTTCATTGATTTCTGCTCCAATCTTTGTTATTTCCTTCCTTTTGCTAATTTTTGGCTTAGTTTGTTCTTTTTCTAGCTCCTTGAGTTGTAAAGTTAGATTGTGTATTTGAGATCTTTATTCTTTTTTATTCCTTCTTCTTTTTAATCTCAATAAATTTCCCTTTTAGTACTGCTTTTGCTACATCCCATAAATCTTGGTATGTCATGGATTTTGTTGTTGTTTGTTTGTTTGACCTGAGGTATTTTCTAATTTCCTTTTTATTTCTTCATTGAACTAATTTTTGTTCAAGAGTATGTGGTTTAATTTCCACATATCTGTGAATTTCTCAGTATTCCTTCTGGTATTGATTTCTAGATTCATTTCATATAAGATATGTGGTATGATTTCAATCTTCTTAAATTTGTTATGACTTGTTTTGTGACCTAACATGTGATCTATCCTAGAGAAAATTCCATGTGTATTTGAGAAGAATGTGTGTTCTTCTACTGTTCGTTAGAATGTTTTGTATATGCATCTTAGGTTCATTTGGTCGATAGTGTTATTCAAATCCTATGTTTCCTTATTGATATTCTGTCTGAATGTTCTATCCATTATTAAAAGTGAAGTCTCTTACTATTATTGTATTGCTATATATTTCTTCCTTCAGTTCTGTCAATGTTTGCTTTATATATTGAGGTGCTCTGATATTGGTTGCATATATATTTATAATTGTTCAATCTTCCTAGTAAATTGACCCTTTTATCCTTATATAATGTCCTTCTTTGTCTCTTGTGATAGTTTTTGACTTCAAGTTTATTTTGTGTGGTATATCTATAGCCACCTCTTCTCTCTCTTGGTTACTATATGTATGGACTATCTTTTTCCATCTTCACTTGTAGCCTATGTGTGTCCTTAAATCTAAATTGAGTTTCTTATAGATAGCATATTGTTGGGTCTTATTTTCTTATCTATCCTGCCACTCTATCTCTTTTGATTGGGAGTTTAATCCATTTACATTTAAATTAATTATTTGTAGGCATGGATTTATTATTGCCATTTTGTTGTTTTCTGTTGATCTTGTAATTTTTTTGTCTGTCTTTTCCTCTCTTGCTGTCTTATTTTGTATTTTGTTGATTTTTTGGTACTGATATTTTAAAAATTCTTTTTAATTTTTTTGTGTGTAACTTCTATAGGTATTCTTGGTGTTGATAGATACTTTGGGGCTTACATACAATACCTCATAGTTAAAAGCCTATTTTAAGCTCATAAAAATAGTCTATTTTAAGCTGTTCAATCACATCTAAAAACTTTACACTATAACTTCTCTCCTCACATATTTTGTTGTTTTGTGACAACACAATATCTATTCATATTGTTTCTCTTTTAACATATTTTAGGTATAGTTATTTTTAATATTTTTGTCTTTTTAATACTAAAATTAAAAATAATTTACCCACTACCATTATAGTAACACAGTATTCTATATTTG